CTTTTTAACCCATTACAATCCAAAACTGGATATTGTAGTGGCAAGTGACGCTAGTTCATACGGGATAGGAGCGTGTATTCAACACATAATGCCAGATGGTTCTAGAAAACCAATTGCACATGCTTCGAGAACTTTACTCCCAGGAGAAAGAAGTTACTCCCAGATAGAAAAAGAGGCACTGAGTATCATTTATGCCATAACAAAATTTCATAGATACATCCACGGCAGACATTTTATGCTTGAAACGGATCATAAACCTCTGATCACTATTTTTGGTTCAAAGAAAGGGTTACCCGTTTATACAGCAAATCGTCTGTTAAGATGGGGAACCATTCTTCTCAATTATGATTTTCACATAAAGCACTTATCATCCAAAAATATAATTCATGCGGATAGTTTATCAAGACTCGTACCGAGTCAAGAAGAAAGATTCGAAGAATCAATTATTGCAAATATCAGAGCAGATTATGAGGTGAAAAGCATGATAAACAACATTGTAAGAGAGCTACCGGTTACACTAAAGGAAATTAAAAAAGAAGCTGAAAGCGATGATTTCATTTTAGAAATAAAAAGCAAAATGGTAGCAAATGACCAAAAAGTGCAGGAGATTTATTCAATAGGTGACGGAGTTTTATTATATGGTGAGAGAGTAGTAGTAACAAAAAAGTTGCAGAAAAGAATACTAAGGGACTTTCATATGGGTCACCCGGGGGTTAATAGAACAAAAAGCTTAATGTGAAGCTTTGTATATTGGAAAGGAATGGATGTGGATATCGCAAACATGGTTCATCGATGTAAAGGGTGTGCGTTAGCAGCCAAGGCACCACCTATAGTACACAAACCATGGCCCAAGACGGATCATCCGTGGACAAGAATACACATTGATTTCGTTGGTCCAGTAGAAGATTATTACTACTTAATAGTGGTAGATAGTTTTACAAAATGGCCGGAAGTACTACGCTGCAAAAAGCCTACGTCCAATACCACAACAACTTTTTTGCATGAACTATTTGAACGGTTCGGTGTGCCAGAGTGTATTGTGAGTGACAATGGTACACAATTCACTTCTGAAGAATTTAAGGAATTTTGTGAGTTATATCAAATTAACCACATAACGACGCCGCCGTATCATCCGAGGTCCAATGGACTCGCAGAAAGATTTGTCGATACTTTAAAGCGCGCTCTGAAGAAAGCCTCAGGAGTTCCAACGGAAAAGGCGCTTCAGCAATTCTTACAAGTATACAGAATCACGCCAAACCAGAGAACACACGCAAACATGGCACCAGCTGAACTAATGTTCGCTAGGAAAGTTAAGTCAGTGTTTGACAAGTTTTTGCCAGGAAAAAATAGAGTAAAGAATACTATGTATACAGCGAGAAAAAGATACACCGCCGGAAAGAAGGTGTTTTTCAAGTGCTACAAAAACAACGTTGAGTTCTGGGAGCGAGGCATAGTGGACAAGAGAATCGGTGACCTGATTTACATAATTAAAGGGCCGAAGAATTCTCATAAAAGGCACCAGAACCAACTTAAAAAATGTTACGTTATAGAGCATGAAGAGAGTATACCGGATGAGGAGGAAGATCCCATTGATGTAATGTATGATATGTTTCAAGTAGAACCTCCACAGAATACTCCTGAACCAAGAAGATCCGGTAGGAAACGTAAGTTCACGGACCCATTGGACGTGAATCCAAAACGGAAAAAATATTAAAATTAAGCAGATGGACATATGCATATGAAGTATGCAAAGGGATCTACAAAGAAATAGCCATAATCATCAACCCATATAGGAAGCCAGTTGGAAATCCAAAAGGGATTCCAAGGCTTGGGAGGGGGGGTGTTGTGGTAGGATCCACCTAATTTGCATAGTGGGAGTACCGACCATATAAATATGGTTGGTACCGGAAGACGGGGGGAAGGAATCAGAGATTCAATCCAGAGACTCTGCCCGACTGCGACTAAGTCAACACATTCTCCAGGAACGGCCTTCCCAAGAATATACAAAAGACTATATGTAAATATTGTGTACACTTTCTTGTTTCAATACATTTTGTTCTAAGTACATTTTGTGTTGTATTATTATTCCATGCATTAGTCAAGTTTCAACAATATATTAGATGTGTAGATTTGTATTTAAATTATATTTATATGTTTGTATTTGGATGTATGTAAATCTACATAGCTTTTCCACCCCCCGAAAATAAATGGACTATCATAACAGTAAAATATAAATACCAATATTTACATTTTACAACAGTCAGCTATCAATCGGCACCTGACGATTGCATCGTGCATGAAACTCAGAGTTGTGTGGTGAGGTACAAAATATATATTTATTATTATGCGCGTTCGCGCACGGACAGACGGACAGACACACACATACACACATAAATACATAAACACTTACGCACACACACACACACACACGCACACACATACGCACAAAAATATACACACATGCAATACGCAAACACACACACAACACACACACACACACACGCACACAACACACACGCACATAACACACACACACATGCATGCACACACACACACACACACAAAATAATTAAAAATATATAATTAATAGATAAATAATAATTAAATAAAACTATAATTAAATTAATGAAATAAAAATTAAATAAGAATAAAGAAATGAAAATTAAATTAATAAAATAAAATATTAATAATAATAATAGTAATAGTAACAATAATAAATAAAAATGAAATTAATGAAATAAAAATGATTAAATGAATAAATATTAATTAAATTAAAATAAAAAATAATAATACATAAATAATAAATAAATAATAATTAAATTAATAAAATAATATTTAATAAATTAAATTTCCTGGCATACATTGAACATTCTCCTGCGCTTTTAGTTTTCATAAGACATTATCAAAGAATTTCTTTGTGGATTGATAGGTATGTACAAATAAGCGTATACCTATCATACGTATGTGACTATCAAATGTCATGTTTTCACGCGTCGATGGTTGTTTCGTCTGGGTCATCTCAGATTGAAGAATCGGAGAGAACCGAGTTCGAATTCCAATCGAAACCCTTACATTCACTTAAGTGCTAATACCCTTGGGAATGGTATGAATCTTTGAATATATATTACAGAAAATGTATTGTTGGTATTTTTTTAAAATAAAAATCTGTTTTTATACATTCCTAGTATTTTGATTTTTGTTTGGGGGGGGGCACTATTTACCCATAGCTGGAAGCCTGAAAGGTGCTACCACCCCGGGTCAGGGTGACCTGGGAATAAGAGCAATTAAGAGATGGTTCCACGCTCCAAATTCCCGATCTTGCAGCCGAATGTAGTTTATCGTCATACCCAGGACACTTACGGACAGGGGACCGGTAAGCTATTACATGACGTAACATAGCTGCTAACAAACTAAGAAACAAGCATAATAATAATAATAATAATAGTAATGCATCCACTTTTCCTTCTTTTCTCTTTTCAGTTCCCCCTTCCTCACACTAGAGGAAGCTCACACGGACAAAGTCGTATCATTAGAAAAGCATACAGACAGTCCATATTTGCTGAAATGATGAAGGAAGCCTACCCAATGTGGAAGGACTTGGAAATCGAATCAGGAACAGTTCTACAGAGGTGAACTTAATGCCACATCCGTACGCCTTTTTAAAACTCTTGGCAATATTTTCACGCGTTAGTTAAGAGCATTTGTTAACAACTAATCTCGATTTTGTAATGTGCTCAATTCTCATTGGGTACTTCGCTATTTGTTTTAATCGTTTCACCCCAAGCAAGGCGGTAAAGAACTAGAACGCAGGATGGGGGGGGGTACAAAGGAGTGAAAGTGAAAGTGAAAGTAAAAGAGAATGAAAAGTCTTAAAATGGAGAAGATTGAAGAAAGGACAAAAAAAGGAACAGGTTTAAAAAAAACAAAAAAACCGAGATGGCGATTGACGCTGCATTTACATTTTTTGTAAGATTGTAGTTATAAGGGAAGCAAGAAATAGGAAGGGATTCCCACAGGTGGGAAGTTCGAGAAAAGATACCTTTAGAGCAGAATTCCGGGTCTTTTCAAGGTACTGGAATTTGGTCAGTTACCCTGGGCGCAATAAAGGTCGATTGACATCATATCGACATGTCATGTGTTTAGGATCTTCCAAAGCTAAAGAGGGAAGGAGATGAAAAGGGAGAAGTCGAGACAGATACATAGACAGAAAAAAGAAGAAAGAGAGAGTGGAAGAGAAAATGAGAGGAGGAGAGATGGTGTGTGTGTGTGTGTGAGAGAGAGGGAGGGAGAAGCAATGAAGAGGGAGAAAACGTGAGAGAGAGTGTGGAAGAGATGGAGAGAAAAAGAGTAAATGAAAGAGAGGGGGGAAGAAGAGAAGGAGATGAAATGGGAGAAGACGAGACAGACACATAGAGAGAAAAAAAGATAGTATGTAAGAAAAAAGAGAAAGAGAAACTGAAAGGAGGAGAGATGGTGTGTGTGTGTGTGTATGAGAGAGAGAGAGAGAGAGAAAGAGAGAGAGAGAGAGAGAAAGAGCGATAATCAGACTGATGGAAAATGAGAAGAGTGATGTTGAGACTTAGAGAAACCGAGAGACTGGGGGATATCAAAAATAAAGAGAGAGCGGGAGTGAGACAAAGAAGGAGAGAGTTGGACATAGATGGAGCAAGAGAGAGAGAGAGAGAGAAAGGGAGAGAGAGAAAGGAGAGAGAGAGAAAGGGAGAGAGAGAGAGAGAGAGAGAGAGAGAGAGAGAGAGAAAGAGAGAGAGAGAAACGAAAAGAGATGTTGAGCGTGCATGACTGGCCTAGGGACTCCTTGTTAACGTTTTAAAGATTTCTAATCAGATTTTCTTTTCTTCTTTTCAAGAACAACCGGCGTTCTCTTGATGGGAACGAATCGCAAGAAATATTTGGCCAGCGTCAAAAGCGCCTTGTCAAGCAACGACATCAAGTACAAAGAAATCAGCCCCGAGAAAATCAAAGAAATCTTCAATGTCACCATGTATCCGGATTCGTCGGCCATTATTGAACCAGAAGGCGGGTTTCTGAAAGCGGATTTGGCTTTGCAAACATTCCAGGTAACACGAAACAAACCCCACAACTGCGAATAACAAAAGCATCATTCCTTCCCCGAGTATCTTGGATAAGAGATTTCATACCTGTACCGGTAGAAATCTTTGGCACCATGCACACTTAGGAATTCGTTCTCACCAGTACAGCCCACACCTTAGGAAGGGCTTTATCTATGTAAAATATGTGTGATTTTCTTTTTCAAAATTGCTCAGTGGAAAATGTCACGATGCCATTTCTGACCTTAGGTCTCTGGTCGGGACCCGGAAAGAAAAGAGTACATACAAAAAAATGAAAGGAAATAAAATAATAATAATAATAATAATAATAGTAATAATAATGATAAGTATTAACCTGGGAAAAATTAACGGTTTTTCTATTTTAATATTCTGATGAATCTTAAGTTAATGATTGATTAAGCTCATGGCGAGTTCCATGGCAATAAAATAACCGTTGAAAATCTCCTATTGCATCATTAAATATTTGAGCTTAACAACGTTAACAAAATACAGTGTGACCCGGATATAAGAGAGTTGTCGGGACCGGAGAAGAAGTCTCTTATATCCGGGTTTCTCTTATATCTGGGTTTGGTCTATTTTATATACGTTAACACAGGCTCTAATTTGGGACCAGAGAAAATCTCTCTTATATCCGGGTTTCTCTTATATCCGGGTTTGGTCTATTTTATATACGTTAACACAGGCTCTAATTTGGGACCAGAGAAAATCTCTCTTATATCCGGGTTTCTCTTATATCCGGGTTTGGTCTATTTTATATACGTTAACACAGGCTCTAATTTGGGACCAGAGAAAATCTCTCTTATATCCGGGTTTCTCTTATATCCGGGTTTGGTCTATTTTATATACGTTAACACAGGCTCTAATTTGGGACCAGAGACAATCTCTCTTATATCCGGGTTTCTTTATATCCGGGTTTGGTCTATTTTATATACGTTAACACAGGCTCTAATTTGGGACCAGAGAAAATCTCTCTTATATCCGGGTTTCTCTTATATCCGGGTTTGGTCTATTTTATATACGTTAACACAGGCTCTAATTTGGGACCAGAGAAAATCTCTCTTATATCCGGGTTTCTCTATTTCCGGGTTTGGTCTATTTATATACGTTAACACAGGCTCTAATTTGGGACCAGAGAAAATCTCTCTATATCCGGGTTTCTCTTATATCCGGGTTTGGTCTATTTTATATACATTAACACAGGCTCTAATTTGGGATCAGGGAAAATCTCTCTTATATCAGGGTTTCTCTTATATCCGGGTTTCTCTTATATCCGGGTTTCTCTTATATCCGGGTCTCTTATATCCGGGTTACACTGTATTGCAATAACAATCATAAATATGAATGCAGATTGTTGTTTTAAAGAAGTAAGGGGGTACAAATGAAATGATTTGAAATTGACAAGTCTTTTCCATTTCACTGAAACAGACGTTGAACATTTCTTTCTTTCTTTCTTTCTTTCTTTCTTTCTTTCTTTCTTTCTTTCTAGCTTCCCTTCTGTATTTCTTTCTTTCTTTCTTTCATTTTCTCACTGAAACCAAGTAGCGTCTTACCCTCCACCTCTTTCCATGCGATCCAAACGGAATAGTCCATTATTTATGAGGTATTGGCAGAAGACTTTAAACACATTTATCTTCCCTTAGTTCTTTCTTTCCTGTTTTACGAGCATTTCTCTTAATAATAATTTTAAATTAATTCAGCAGACGATGTTATTTTATTTAATTTATTGTAATTGGATTTTTAACGATCGCCGTACTCGATTTCCGTCGTTTGATATTGTATATCTGAAAAATGGCGCTTTTATCGCGGTCATCATTCTTGTCGGCCTTTTGGCTGAGATCAAAGTGTAGTATTTGTTCTTATCATCTTAATCTGATTCTCTCTCTCTCTCTCTCTCCCCCAATTCTAACTTCACTTATTTCTTTCTTTCTTTCCTGTTTTACGAGCATTTCTCTTAATAATAATTTTAAATTAATTTAGCAGACGATGTTATTTTATTTCATTTATTGTAATTGGATTTTTAACGATCGCTGTACTTGGTTTTCATCTTACGTCTGAAAAATGGCGATTTTATCGAGGTCACCATCTTCTCGGTCTTTTGGCTGAGATCAAAGTGTAGTATCTGTTCTTATTGCCTTAAACTGATTCTCTCTCTCTCTCTCTGTACTTCTATCTTCCCTTCTTTCTGGCAGGAGACATTAAACACATTTATCTTCCCTTATTTCTTTCCCGTTTTACGAGCATTTCTCTTAATAATGGAGAGCCATGATCAACCACGAGCTGAAAGGACATTGTCTTTAAGAATGGGCTAAATAGCAGTGTAAACCGAGCCTTGGTTGGTAGCCAATCTAGTAGAAAGAGAGTTTCACATTCAAAATGTTGGAGAAGGTAACAGGAAATCACTCCATTATCTTTATCAAAAAGTCATAGCGATTTACAACTGTTAAAGGAAGCTGTGGAGAGTCGTGATCGCCGACATTCTGAGAGGACATCGCATTAAAAATGGGTCAAATACCAAGGTAGATTGGCCGCTCCAGTCTAGTTTCTCTACATTTTCTTACGCGCAGGTACCCTTAGGAAAGTTATGAATCCACCTCTTCTCCCTCCTCACCAGTTATGGGTTGAATAGCAGAACAAACTGGCAACCAGTCTACCGCAGGAAAATCTTCTGTCTCGTCAGTCATGAATCAAAAGAGACATGATCTCCCGAGCGTATATCATGTCTGGCACTTGACTGGCTGACTAGGAGGACACTAAGGAAGCTGCATTACTTTGGACCTATTATGCGACGAGGCGGCTTCGATAAGGACATTCTGCTGGGCCCGGTGCAAGGCAAGCGGCGCCTATGTTTTGGTTTTAATAATATTAAGAGGTGGACAGGAACAACGGTGACTGAAACTAATGGAAGCATCTGATAGAAAGAGATGTGGGGAAGTGGTGACCACAGCGGCGCAAGATGCGCTACCTGAATAAATGATGATGATTTAATTTTATATCATAAATTCTTTTTTTTTTCTTTCGTTTTCAGAAAGAATTTGTAAAACTTGGCGGTCTTCTTCTGGACGAGACTCAGCTCCTGTCGATCGAACCAGGCGAGATTATCACCTTACACACAAACAGGGGAGCCTATGTTGCCCGAAATGTCATCTTGTGTCTCGGGCCTTGGGCCGGAGATTTCCTCAGCCGGATGGGCATTCAGCTTCCTTTAAAAGTAAGTCTAGAATGGAAGTAAAAAAAAAAATAAAATAAAATAAAATTTCCTTTTGATATTGTTTCGTTAATTAGCAAAGAAGTTCACTATTTACATTATTCGGACTATTGTCCTCATCTTTGTCGCCGTATTTATTACAACGTTTCGGCCGTTGTACGCTTCGGCCTTCTTCAGGTGGTTGGAATGTCGAACTGAACCCTTTATTTCGCTCACTGGGGTAGACTGTTCCACTTCCACGTGCCATGTTTAATAAAGGGTTCAGTTCGACATTCCAACCACCTGAAGAAGGCCGGAGCGTACAACGGCTGAAACGTTGTAAGAAATATAGCGACAAAGATGAGGACAATAGTCCGAATAATGTAAATAGTGTACATTATATCTCATCTCGGAAATATAGACAGATAGCAAAGAAGTTGTTTATAACGTTTCTCTTCTAGTTTTCCTTCCACAGTAATGTCGATTTATCGCCATGTTGCTGATCAGCCTGGACGCCGTTTCATTTTCCCTAATAATCTTCTCTCTCCTCATGTAACCCGTAGAAATTCACTGCTCAACACCCACAGATCCCACCTGTGGATCCTACCGCAACTATGCTGGTCACTGATCTCAACAACACTACGGGTTACGGTTTTGGTTTCCGTATCAGGTACGCTTTTTTACTGGGTGAAGTTATTAGCCTCATGCCAAAACGGTCTTGTCAGGGCCGGCTCAAGGTACTGGCAACTCGGGCAGCCACCATCAAGGCCGAGGGCGCCATCATGCCATCATGTCATGTGTTTTTGGATCTTCCAAAACTAATGATTATAAAAACATACTTGCGGTCATCCATGACTCAAAACAGATTAAATTCTTTGGCAAAATAGAAAATGATCTTGTAAAGTAGATACATATAGAAAGGGCCATGAAAAGATTTGTAGATCTAAAGGCTAGAAAAGAATGTTTTCTTTAGCTTCTATTAAGTTGTACATTGTAATAAACTCATTATTCTATATTTTCAGCTTTTCTCCATGTGAAAATTAAAAAAAATATACTTGTAACACTAGGTTAGGCCCTGCATATAACAAATATATCCCTAATTTTAATGTTACTTAAAGTTTCATGCACTAGACAGTATATGTCTAATGATTACCTAGTATAAGAATTTTAAGTAGCATCTTATGCTAAGTTATAAGGACATGCTTGTTTTAAGAGAATTAATATAAATAAAATTTGTCACTTAGGTGATTGATGTTGTATTCAACACCAACATGCCACCATATCATGTGTTTGGGATCTTCTAAAACTAAAGTTTATAAAAACATACTTGAGGTCATCCATGACTCAAGACAGATTAAATTCTTTGGCTATTTTGTTCGTGGCTTCCCTCTGTCTTTTCTACAAGATATGGTAACTACTCTAACAAACTTTTTTTTCCCTAGTGCCTGGTCTATGTAAGTTTAAGTGTGCTATATGAAGAGTCAGTATGGGTAGCCCCCCTCAGACCAATCTATTTCGCAAAGCCGGCTCAAGGTACTGGCAACTCGAGCAGCCACCATCAAGGCCGAGGGAACCATCACGACGCCATGTCATGTGTTTTGAATCTTTCAAAAATAAAGTTTATAAAAACATACTTGCGGTCATCCATGACTAAAGATAGATTAAATTCTTTGGCAAAAATGAAAATGATCTTGTAAAGAAGATATGTATAAAAAGTGACATAAAAAGAACTGACAAAATTTGCAGTGAACAATAACAAGAGGAGGAAAAGAATAAGACGGAAATAACATTAAGTAATCAATATACGCAAGGCAGAAGAATAGCAATAAGGTAAAGCAAGAGTAATAAGGCAAAACAACAGTAATAAGGTAAAAGAAATGGTGTTAACCCACAAAGGGGGATACAGACAAGCGATCGCAGCATTCTGGCTACAAGACAAAAAAGAACAGAACCTTTCAGATGAGACCAAAAAGTGACCTATCTTATCCTAGCATGTTTTGTCGATAGATTTAGGGAGTGGGAGATTTTTGCAATCATTCCTAAACCCAACAATTTTGCTATAAAATATATTACTCGTCATATTGCTTTAAAAATGTATTATTGCTAATTGTACTATAAAATTATATTATTGCTAATTGTACTATAAAAATGTATTATTGCTAATTGTACTATAAAATTATATTATTGCTAATTGTACTATAAAAATGTATAATTGCTAATTGTACTATAAAAATGTATTATTGCTAATTGTGCTATAAAATGTATAATTGCTAATTGTACTATAAAAATGTATTATTGCTAATTGTGCTATAAAATGTATAATTACTAATTGTACTATAAAAATGTATTATTGGTAATTATACTATAAAATGTATTACTGGTAATTGTACTATAAAAATGTATTGTTGGTAATTGCACTATAAAATGTATTACTGCTAATTTACTATAAAAATGTATTGTTGGTAATTGTAGTATAAAATGTATTATTGGTAATCGTACTATTAAATGTATTACTAGTAATTTGTACTATAAAAATGTATTATTGTTAATTGTATTAAAAATGTATTACTCGTAATTGTACTAAAAATGTATTATTGCTAATTGTACTATAAAAATATATTAATGGTAATTGTACTATAAAATATATTATTGGTAATTGTAATATAAAATGTATTATTGGTAATTATACTATAAAATGTATTATTGGTAATTGCACTATAAAAATCTATTGTTGCTAATTGTACGATAAAATGTATTACTGGTAATTTACTATGAAAATGTATTATTGGTAATTGCACTATAAAATGTATTACTAGTAATTGTACTATAAAATATGCTATTGGTAATTATTCTATAAAATGTATTACTGGTAATAGTACTATAAAATGTATTACTGGTAATTGTACTATGAAATGTATTATTGGTAATTGTACTATAAAATGTATTGTTGGTAATTTCGCTACAAGAATATGTTGGTATTTTTTTAATAAAAATGTATTGTTAGTATTTTTTACTAAAAATGTATTTTATACTTTCCTAGTGTTTTGATTTTTGTTTGGTTGTGGGGGGGGTCACTATTTTCCCATGTCTGCAACCCTAACAGGTGCTAGCACCACGAGACAAAACGAACCTGGTAACAACAGCAATTAAGAGGTGGTTCCACGCTCCTCAAAAACTCCAAACTTCTGAACAGATGCCTTGCTGCCGGATCGAATTTATCGTCATACCCAGGTCTAGTAGATCGTTTGAACACTCGACAGACTAGTGAGAGGCCGGCAACGTTTCGTCTGGGACAGGAGTTGCAGGGCGGAAAATGTTTCATCATCCACAAGGCCGCGTAATCGCTTTCGAAATTTGTCATGGCTGGACAGTGATGACTGAGAAGTACCATATATGGCAGTAAATTTCCATAGTTGACCCAATTCTTGTGTGTGAAATTCTGTAGACGGAACTATTTGGGGTGCCGTCGATGGCTGGGCTAGCACGAAGTCGCAAGTCGTCGTGGCCGAGGGTTTGAGCGTACTGGCCTTGTTCGGACTGTTGATCACGACAGATAATGCGGTCTCCCCAAGAAACTTGAAGTCCGCTAAGCATAGTGGAGAAGAATCCACAGGTGGGCTCTGTGGGTGTTGAACAAACACAAATGTATCTGAGCAGGTGTCTGCAATAGGGATTGGTTAGTCGCCTGTAGTAGTAATATGTGTTGTGACGAAAGAAATGACTTAACCCGGAGATCGAAACGAGCACGGACGTGTCTTGCGTGCACAGTACTGAAAAGAAAATATGGCCGCTCTTTGGGGGGGGTGCAATTTATGAGTGATTGCCTCGTCTCTACAAGACGGGATTTGAACATATGCAAATTCTGGCCTGTTTGAGGAGACATAAAAAGCGAGATGCTAAGAGCGTTTTTTTTTCTTTCTTGGACGGATTACATTTGCTAGTCTGACCAATGGATTGACAGGAAAAATGGTGAAAGAGACGTGACTGACTTTTGTCAACTGAAAAGTGCCCAGTGTGGTGGCGAAAAAATAGAACCCCGGAATCTATTTTATTTAGGCAAGTGAAGAAGAAGAAGAGTCAGGCTGCGTGCGAATTTTTCTTTTTATCTCCCACATTTATTTTTTCCTACATCGCCCTAGCAGACAGGCGAACTCGGGTACGGGCGGCCAGCCATTAGTTATAAACCCGACTTATGTCCACCTATCGATTGATTAATTGGGATTTTTGCTCTTTAAGTCTTATATTCTGCTTTGAGTAACCCAACAGGCCTTGAGCTGTGGTTAAATTAACTGGCCTCACCTAACCTAACCTAATGTATCTAATTTCAGCCAATCAGAACCACCGTTGGTTACTACAAAGAGAAACTTCCCTCTCAATATGGATTAGGTCGATTTCTTCCTTTTCTCTACGACACGGAATCAACCCATTTTTATGGAATCCCTTCAAACGAATATCCCGGATTAGTGAAGGTCGGCATTTTGGCTTTACATACATTGTTTTTTTTTTTTTTTTTTTAAATGCATATGCACAGTTTGATTGATTGATCCGTTTTTTTTTTACGGTTTATCAACCCCTACCAAATTATTTAAAACTAGAAAATATTTTAAGATTAAAAAAAAAAATATAATAGTTTAGTGATACAAGTCTTACTAATTAACCCGCAGCTAAGGGGGGAGAGGTGAATTCATATCTTTCGCAAATGGTATTTGCTGGTAAGCGAATATAACGAACCTGACTGGAATTAGAACTCGGCTCTACGATTAACGATTCCGAGTCATTATCCATTACACCATCCGCCCTTCCAAGCTTACAACAGCTGGTATTCCCAAGAGGTAGCCCATCTAACTTGTGACCCGGCTCGACGTTGTTTAGGACCGGTGTTTCAACGTGATATGGTCATTCTTCTTTTTGTTTTGGGTGTTTTAACCTGGCGGAGCCCATCCCTCTCCAGTAGCATATGCAGTAGCTTTATTCATTAAAAAGTGTGTTATTTAACAGTCAGTTGGTTAACGCCTAGCTCAACGAAGAGCTGCACTAAAATTCACGGGAGATGACTGGTCGGACTTTGTATAAACAGAACCATAGAAAGAGTGTACGCTCTTGAATGATTCGTGTACTTGAGTTCCGAAGGGTGGTGGTGGTGAGTGTGTGTGTGTGGGGGGGGCGTCGCCTGCCAGCCAATGTCTCTCAGTTTTCAATTTTTAATTCTATGACATGACCGCGCCAGCCACCATTCCAACAGTAATCAAATTTTCAAGAGACTGTCGATAATGTTCCTGCAATTGTGGGTTTGCTTAATTTCCACATATTAATGTGCAGATATAGGAACTCCTACAGAAGGTAGTAAAGGAAAGTGAGAAGAAAGGACTAACTATCAATTGTAAGAAGATAGAATGTATGGTTGTCAGCAAAAGGAACAGCCGAACATGCTGGAGAGACCAAAATTTATACTCAGGGCAAACTACCTGCATACGGATCAGAAATGAATTCAGTACATATACAAAAATAGAAAGGGGCGTAGGATAAGGATCTGTCTTATCACCAGGCCTATTCAACCCTTTCAGTGAGAGGGATACTGAGAGAATTAGAAGTCCTACCAGGATTCATTATTGGCGGTCACAACCTTAATAACATTAGATATGCCGTGTAGATAGCAGACATAGAAAGGAAACTACAAGAACTCCTACAGAAGGTAGTAAAGGAAAGTGAGAAGAAAGGACTAACTATCAATTGTAAAGAGATAGAATACATGGCTGTCAGCAAAAACAGAAGTAGTCCAACATGCGAATTACAAATTGGAGATACCAGAATCAAGCAAGTACAAAAATTTAAACATCTAGGAAGTGTTTTAACAGAATACGGAAAAGACGACACCGAAATCCGAAGGCGCATTGGAATAGCGAAAGATGCCTTCCAAAAGCTAAGCAAAGTATTAAGAAACGAGAAAATTTTCGTTAGAAACATAGGAAAGTGTATTTAACTGTTATGCAACATCAGTCCTCCTTTATGCCATTGAATTCTGGACAATCCCTTCAAAGAAGAAGAAGAAGAGACTCGAGGCAAAAGAAATGTAGTTCTACTGAAGGATACTGAGAATTCCATAGACCGAACATAAAAAGACACATATAATTATCATCAGAAAGAGTCGGTTGGAATTTCTAGTACACATAATGAGGAAAGTGGGCTTAGAAAATTTGACACTCACAGGACAGATTGAAGACAAGAGGGACAGAGGAAAGCAGCGCGTAACCCCTGCCTAACGAGATCGAGTAAATGATTAGATGAACAGGGATTAGGAGAGATAGCGAAACAATAGCATTCACTAAGAGCTACAAAGGAGAGGATATTGTGGAGAGCCATGATCGCCAACGTCCTGAAGAGACACGGCACATAGAAGAAAAAAGAAGCTTGTGTAAATGGATAGCAGAACAGAATTTAGGAGATATCGCAAAAAGAAAAAAATTACTGAGAGTTACAAAGGAGGGGAAATTGTGGAGAGCCATGATCGCCGACGTCCTGAAGAGACACGGTACATAGAAGAAAAAAGAATGAGCTTGTGTAAATGGATAGCAGAACAGAATTTAGGAGATATCGCAAAAAGAAAAAAATTACTGAGAGCTACAAAGGAGAGGAAATTGTGGAGAGCCATGATCGCCAACGTCCTGAAGAGACACGGTACATAGAAGATGAGATAGCGAAACAATAACACTAGGCGCTACAAACCAGCTACTGACATTCGCACTTATTATACAGAAGACATAAAAATAATACAAAAAAAAAAAGAAAAAAAAAGAAAAAGAAGATATTTAAATAAAATGCCCCTCAGTTTTCAGTTCCGAAAAAACAACCATTAGCCTTGGACCTAATAACAGGTCAACCCATTTCATTATTCTCTTAGACTAGTTATCCATACTCACCGCCATCAATAACAAAAACATGAACAGCTCACTCATCACCAAACTCCTGAATAGATTTAACTCAATACTCAATCAAAAACACATTATTCTATGTTAGGTTCCTAGCCATATTGGGATCACTGGGAATACTAGGGTCGATAAGGCATTTAAAGAATTCCTCTCAAGGAACATATCAAATTCAAAAATCGCCTTTACAGACTTGAAAGCCACAATTAACGCTTACATCCTTAACCAATGACAAAATCATGGAATACACATACAACAACAACAAACTATATCAAATAAAACTCTTTTTGACTGTACAACATCACAGTACTGGATACTCAAGAAAAGATGGTGTCATACTTACAAGAATCAAAATCGGACACACCCACATAACCTACTCTTTTCTCTTAAAAAATGAAGACCCTCCAAAATGTCGAAACTGCCAAGAAGTACTCGTTGTCAAACATTTTTTAATTAAATACAAAAAGAAAAAAAAAAAAAAGGAAAAGCTATCCCTTATAGAAAAATACTTCTACAATGTACTTAACCTTAGGGCCCTCTTTGAGAGTGCCCAACAAAACTCTACTCCAAAATATAAAAAGGAAACTGAATAAACACCCGACTACAAAATGGAACTAAAACTAAATTACATCCCCGCCCCTATAATTATAATAAGGACTTATAAAAGAATTTGTCTTTAAAATAGACACAAAATAAAAAAGAAAATTTAAAACTACCAGATTCTGTGTGAAATGACCCTTGGGGTTGGTGTCCTGTTAAAATAACCCATCTAAATCTAATCCTGAATTGGGTTCTTCATTTTATGATTGAGCACATAATTCTTGTGATCACTACACTTCCAATTGAGTCTTTAGTTCTCAAGTTGTTACTTTCTCTTGTATGGACCAATATCAGCCTGAATATCCTTTTCTTCCCCCCCCAAAAAAAAAAAATGGAGTTAGGAGCCCTTTGGAAACTCAATGATATTTGAACTTTTTTTTATGAATTAATTTAAAGTATTGAAACATTTTAGAATCTTATGGAATCTTTAAAGAGAAACCAAATGACTAAATTAAAAGTAATATCTATTACTAATATATTAACCTTTAGCACTCTGCATTATTAATATTCCTTCCCTTTCTACTGCATTCTTTTTCAAGACCTTAATTGCAGTAACCTTATTTAACTCAAGATGTTTTTTTTGTTACCATAGAAGTACTCACTGTCAAACATTTTTTAATTAACTGCAAAAAAACTGGCACCCATTTGAAAATATTTCTCCAATGGACCCAACCTTAGGGTCTTTTTTTGAGAATGTTGAACCGAAAGCCATTTTTTAGAATTTTTAAAAGTAACAAAACTCTTACCCCAAAATATAAAAAGGAAATCGAATGAAGACTCAATTACAAAATGCAACTAATATTAAATTGCATCCTCACCCTTATATAATAAGGACTTATAAAAGAATTTGTCTGCAAAATTTAAAACTACCAGATTCTCTGTGAAATGACCCTTGGGGTTGGTGTCCTGTTAAAATAACCCATCTAAATCTAATCCTGAATTGGGTTCTTCATTTTATGATTGAGCTCATAATTCTTGTGATCACTACACTCCCAATTGAGAAAAGGTGATGATGACTCTCCTTGTGCATAGATTCTTCAATCTTATACGAAAACACTTCTACAATGTACTCAACATTAGGGTCCTCTTCGAGAGTGTCAAACCCAAAGTCATTCTAGAATTCTTAAAAGTAATAAAACTCTACCTCAAAATATAAAAAGGAAACTGAATAAACACACGACTACAAAATGGAACTAAAACTAAATTACATCCTCATTCTCGAAGAGAAAAAATACGTTTATCTGTTTTATTTCATTTCAATATCGCCAGGTGGCGCTGCACAATGGACCCGATATCGAACCTGACAAGCGAGACCAAGTCGAAGCTGACTGGGTGATGAGAACGTGCAACCAGTTTGTGAGAGATGTTTTCCCCGGTTTAGAACCCGTTCCAAGTATCGTGGAACATTGTATATACACGGTAGGTCAGGAGATAATTCTATGTGCGTTTATTACAGATTTTTTTTTTATCTGATCTTTTTTGTTAACCTTTGCTCCATGACAATGAATTACAGATCATTGATTTTGTAGTGAGTCCCGATAAAAATAAAATAAAATATAAAAAATAAAATATATAAACAAAAATAAAAATAATTAAAATTAAAATAAAGCATTTGCGCTGTCCTTTCAAGTCCTTGTCACTTTCTTTTCTTTTTCTCTCTCTAAACTTCTATTCTTTTTCTCTCTCTAAACTTCTCTGTGTATACTTCTCGAGAACACTAACCATCAATTAAAGTTATACCCCTACTAACCATGGGTATATCATACCCGATTCTGAAAATATCAAAAAAAAAAAAAAAAAAAAAAATTAAATATAAATCTTTACTTGAAATATTTTACATGCAGGCACTTCAAACTCTGTACTTTGAGTTAACATTAATAGGAACTGAAAAACATTATTTAGGTAAGAAAATCAGGTACTGAAAATTGTAATTAAAAATAGGAAAATTTGCGCTGGGTAATATATACCCATGGTTAGTGTTCTTGGGTTAACCTGCGAGATGACAGCACTCAATAGAGTAAGACGAAGAAGAGACTGATCCCGGCCGAAAAACGCCTAAAGTTTACGGAACACGAGCCTAATTTGTGACTGAAAACTAACAAAAATCAAGGAGGCTTCACTTTTGTTATAAAAAAAAATATATGAAAAAGAAAGGAACATCGGAAAATAAAATAATTTTAACTAAAATAAATAAATAAAATAAAATAAAAACAAAGAGACTGTTGATGCTAGCCGAAACCAAGATTCAGGTTTTGGAGACTGGTCACAAGCATACAAGCTGGCACCTCTGAGCTAGACGAGAAGATGTGGCGTGAGAGGACAGCCTGAGACGCGGCCTCCAGAGAGAACAATCATGCGTGACGTGCGAAGAAGTAATTAAGCGGTCATCTGCAAATCATATTTCTGCTCAATTTAGGGCCGAGAAAAACTATAGAATGACCTATTTCTAAGATGACTACGACAATTATAAAGTGCTGACGTTCAAACTCTTGAATACTAAACCGAAACGGACTTTCTCCAAACTACGACCAATATCCGCCTTATAAACGAACATTTTGTGTCACCGAATATCAAAGGACTTACTCTAAAGTAAATAAATAGAGATATATTATTTAATTTATACCCTTTCTCTAGTCGTTTTTTCCCAAAATCTCTTCCGGTAAATAAATACGAAGAACCATCCTGGCATACAACTGCCACAATTTTAAAATAAATAAATAAAACTCGGTCTGTTTTTCTGTTTGCATGAGTGTATGGTGACTTTCTAAGCGTAGTTTAGATGTGGCACAAGGCTCAAATTATGGGTACCCGGTGAGGATCGAACCCACTACTGAGTCGAGATGGGACAACTCTACATTGCCGACTCAACACCGCTGACTAATCGCCGAGATAGCTCAGAACTGAGATAACTCAGCAACAGAAAAACATAACTTTTTTTTTTATAACCGAATAAAAGTAATTTATTAGGGATTAAAAATTTAATTCGTGAATATTTTTCTTCAAATAAGTCATTTGAAAAAGGCATTATGTAAAATATGAACCACTTTTTACTTTGTTTTTTTTTTTTAAATTAATAGTAAAGAAATTTATTTTTTAAATAAATTGACGTATAAAAATAATTCAATAAAATAAAAAAAATATTTTAGAATGTCAATTTACTTTATTAAAAGTAATTAAAAACAAGTGTATTTTATTGAATTATGTTTTATATATAATTTTACTTTATTAGAAAATAACTTTGAGTTGTCCAGCACACCTACCGAGTCGTAATTGTTCTAATAAGACGGGTTTGCTAACCATTACCCAAGGTCGAGGAACTCCTGCACGGATGTGTGTGCGGATTGTTTGAGTGTATTGGACTTGTTCAAAACGTATTGATCGCTCCAGATAATACGATCTCTTACAGAAATTGAAACTGGAACTAAGACCCGATCAGCATAGTTGCAGTATAAACCACGGTTAGGCTCTGTGTGTGTTGAACAAACATAAATGTGCCTGAGCAGATGTCTGCTAAGAGATTAGCTAGTCGACAGGAATACTCGAAAACGAGCGGTCAGCCATAGTTTGCCTATCTATCTATCTATCTATCTATCTATCTATCTATCTATCTATCTATCTAGTTAAACCTACAGAGCCAGACAAACTTACAAATGTTTTCCGAACGAGTACAGTTTCTTACTTATAAGATTTCTATTAATAATATCTATCTATCTATCTATCTATCTATCTATATTTTTTATGTTTTTCATGAATACTTTAGTTTTCCGAGGTAAGTAAAATCACATTGCTTACCCCCGCCCCCCTGCTAATCAATGCGCAGTACGCATTTCAGTGCTGGATACTCCAACAATCTCTCTTAAGAGATCAATGTCTTTCGTCTTATTTATTTTCCCTAATTACAATCTTGATTTCTCTGAACATCTTTTTCTTTCACAACAAAAACCATCGTCTTTTATCTTTGACAGAATACACCAGACGAATATTTCATCCTAGACAGGCATCCGAATCATTCAAATGTGATCGTCGGAGCTGGATTTTCCGGTAAATAATTTATTAAAGCTTATTTTAAAAAAATATTTTTTATCTACCTAATCTCACCAATACTTACCAGCAAACTAACTTTACTTTCTTTAATTTTTGTAACGGTGGAATGAATTTGGAAAATGTGTGACATATCCGGCGAGACGAGTGAAACGCTGGGTAATTCGACGAAGGAACAGATTCTTCAAAAAATTACCCGTTTTTTTTTTTGTTTTTTTTTTAAAGTCGCACACTATTGGAGGCTTCATAACAGCAAATATCATTTGCCCGAAAACTGGATTCACTGAAAACATTAAATTAACCAATCAATCATCAAATAGTTCATCTCTCAAAAAACCCCCAAAAAACAAACAAAAAAAAAACAACAAAAATATCAAGTTAGAAAATTAAAGGGAGATAACTTCAACATCTAAATAGAGCATTTTTTGCATTGTTTGAAATTTTTGTTCTTTATTTACGATAATGAATACCTTTTTCTCCATAAATTCATCACTAAAGTCTTCATTCACATCATAATATTGCTTAATATTTTGATTTTATTCTAAATTTAAAAACGAGTAAAATTAACGAAAAACAAACTCAATTGAATATTTAATTTGTCCTATCTTGTCGTGGGTTAGCCAATCTGTATCGGTGACAATTACAAATTAAACTGACCTTCTACAATTTTTACTAAACCAAATGCAACAAAGACAACAACAACAAGAGAAATAATCAAATAGGCTGATATTTGTTTTAACAAATATTATTTTTATATCACAACAAGTACACACGATATAATAAAGTTGTTTAAAATACTTTAGTGTTCTTGGTTGTGATCAAGGGTAATATAAAAGGTGTTATGCTATAGATCTGGTAAGGAATTAAACAGTTTATGTTGATGGTGAAATTGAATGAAATAGATTGCTTGACTTACTGTAGAGTTGTCTCACTTCGACTGATATAGTTACGATTTCCTTTATGTTGTTAAGATATTGAGTGAGTTGGTTTGATGAATCTTGTCTTGGTTGAATTGACCACTAGATGATTTGATGTTGAAAAGAAATTGAATTCCACAAGCCGGGTTGATGTTAATAAAAAGTAACTTTTAGAAAGGAAATTGGGTTTCATTGATTCGTGTGACGAGTTGATTATTTTAAGGACTCACTGACTAAGTCGTGTCGAAGTTTCATATTTATACATTTTTTTTGATTACGTGGGGGCTTGAGAACGTTTACGTTTTTTTGACGCGTTGATCTCTGAACAGGTCAACTCGAGTTCAACTCAAGGTCAACCGTACGGACGTAGGCAGAAACATGACATTATTATTTATGGACCAATCAGAAAGCAATGTTTCGTAATGATCTCTAGGATCGATGGGTTCAGCACAAACTGAGAATACTTAGCCGTGATCTCCTTTTAACAGGTTTAAAACGGAGAATGTTGAAATCTAATTCTACAATTTCAACAAATACATGTGTAAATGAATTAAATATATAAAAATATCTTCTCTGTTAAGTAGGTACTGCTACAGGCTTTCTAAAAGACGAAAACGCATTATAAATAATTTAAATGTGTTCGTCAAAGTTAAATTTTGGTTTTATTTGAAAGATAATAGCCTAAAGCTTGTAGTGGTCTCGTTATCACGAGAAATAAAAAAATTGTGTTGTGATCTCATGATCACGAGAAATAAATAATAATAATAAAAAATATAATAATTTCTCATGATACCCTATTGAAAAGGAAACCGCCTTATAGGCGGGAAACTTAGAATCTTTCTCTTTTCAACGAACTCACATCATGACAGCATGTGGATTTCGGCGTCTCCGGGTATGAAGACTTTCTAGTGATAGGCTTATCCCTTTCAAATCATAATCGACATGAGAAAGTGATATTTGATCATTCCCGGAGCAGCCCAAATCTACGTGCGAGGTGAGAGGTCGTTGAAAAAGACAGATTCTAAATTTCCCGCCAGTAGGGCAGTTTCTTTTTACTAGGGAAATCATGGGAAAATTTTTTTAAAAATTTTCTCGTGATTGTTACAACACAATTCTTTACCTCTCGTGATCGCGAGATCACAACAGGCTAATCCATATTAAAAGAAACGTTAATTTCCGTATGTAATTAAAGTTTTTAGGCATTTTTAAAATAAAGGGTCACCCGACACTCAGCGAACCACCATTATAAACGAAAAATGTAAACAACAAATTTAAAAATCTGTTAAGAATTCAATATTTGTCCTAGACATATGTTTAGAAATCGTTTAGTAAATTTAAAGTAAATTTATTGGCCCTCGTTCGATGGCGTTCCTTCAGAGGATTAGCGGGATGGCGTCGTGAAACGGAGTGGCTCTTGCAGCGTGTCTCACTGGCCATGGTTTGAGGTAATGCTTTCTCCATCATTGCGGCTGGCAGAGGTTAGAAAAAAATTGTTTATAGTTGCTTTGTTCAAACATTTTTTTCAGTAATAAAATTCACTTTCTCGATATGTGACGAATCATCTACCCCCGCCCCCAACAAAAAAAACAAAAACATTAAAGATTAATTAACTGGATTTTGGAAAAGTAATGTTTATTTATTTTTTTTATTACTTAAAACTCAATGAAAATAACGTTTATTTACGTGAAGTCAAAAGTTAAAAACAAAAACTGTAATAATGATAGCCCTAACTTAAAAACCACGCAAAAATTAAAATTAAGAAGTATGGACTACCAGCAGGACAATAATCAGGAAATTGGTATTTATATTTAAAAATAAATTATCTTTATATTATGGGACCTTACCCATAATAACATAATGGACTATTCCATACGTAATAAATACTGCGTCTCAAGAGGAAGCAGGGAGTTCAGTCTGAAGTCTAGAGTGAGGTCCGTCAGGAGTCTGTCAGTCAGTCAGAGTGAGCGAGCGAGTCAGTCAGTCGAGTCAGAGGCAGTCCGAAACAGAGTCGTGTTCAGACAATTACTACTAAACCTGATTGTTCGTACTAACACTTTTCTACTTCTGTGTATATATTCCTGTTTGTAATATATCTGGGTTATTCCATATCCGTATTCGAGTTTTTCTTTATTGGTTCTACCTTGGACTATCACCGTGGTACAAGGAACCGGACCATAACATTTTTATTAACCTTATCTAACCAATAGTTTAAGAATACATTTTTTTAATTCTATGTGCATTAATTAAATTTAGTAGAATTAATAATTTTATTTTGCATACATTGGAAATAGTTATTTTTATTAGTCAAATGATATTTTGGAGTCTAATTCTTTTGTTGTGTTTTTTGCTGGGATCGGGTTTATTCACTGCTTTTAGTTTGTAATCGTTTTATCGCATATTTCATTCCATAAAATATATAATTGCACCCAATGTGATTTAAAAAAAACAAAATTCTGAATTTAAGTTGCTACTAAAACAAAAATAGTTAAAATAGTAAAGTATGATTGAAGGTCTTTGAGTTCTTTTTTACGTTATTCGTTGGCATCCAAGAAATGGAAGAACTATATAGAATCCATTGATAAGTCAGGTACTAAGAAATTTGGTTCAATGTGTTGTGCGAGACAATTTTCTTTCTTCAAAATCTATCTTACATATTTATGATTCTACCCCCACTATGTTTAAAACATCGCTGTCACATATTATTCGGTGTTCCTTGAGCTCCTTGATAAAATCCAAAGGATCCGCAATATTATTGGTCATGATCTGGCAGCTCGGCTTCAGTCAATTTCCCACCGCCGTAAGGTTTCTTCTCTGTGTCTTTTCTATAAATACTTTCATGATAGCTGTTCGAATAAGCTCTTGTACATATGGGTACTAGTTACGACTTCGACATTAAGGTATTATGGTGGATGTAGTAAGAATGGTAAGTAAGAATGCGTTGTTTTAGTGTAAGGAACACTGTAGTATGTTTGGGTTAGTAATTGTGGCTAGCTAAGTTTAATGTTAAGACAGAAGAAAACAACTCTCCCCCCTCCCCATTTCCCATTTTGGCCTTGTGCCATATTTCTGTACATAATGCGGAATAAATATCACTCTTTGCGATGGTACCTAGAGTTTTTGAATTTAAGTGCAGTATTAGACTGGCATCAAGATCTTATCAATTTACAGTTGAGTTGACTAGATGTAGCCGACATTTTCTTTTCTCCGACTTTTTGCTCGTAGAACTCCCTTTCCGCTTTATGCTTTCCAGACAATTTTAATCTCTAAAAATTTAAATGCAATGTCAATCGCATTACCATTTTCTTTACCCGCTTATTGTTAATGTTTCTGTTCCTAATTTCTTCCACACCCTTTAATCCCTTGTGTCTTAGTGGCTTTACTTGCATAGGGTGATACTGATTTAAGAATATGTTTTAAATTCAATTTTTTTAAAAAATTATACGTAATTTCGTATGCAAGTATTATTTTAAAATTGATAAAATCCAAAAAAGAATCAGCAATATTATCAATCCTGATCTGGCAGCTCGGCTTCAGTCACTTTCCAACTTCCATAAGGTTGCCTCTTAGTACCTTTTCTATAAATACTTTCATGGTTATTGTTCAGATGAGCTCTTCACTGTGGTGCCTAGATTTTGTTTTGATTTCAAGCCTAGTACTAGATTGGTATCGAGATCTCATCAATTCACAGTGGAACCGGCTAGATGTAACCGTAAATTCTATACTCACAGTTTCTTTGCTCACACTTCTCACTTGTGGCTCCATGCTTTCCAGCCAATTTTGAATCTGCAAAAATTTAAATGCAATGTCAATTGCTA